ASRAAGWAATTAAAGGGATACAAAGAGAAAAAGAAGAAATCAAATTATCTCCATTTGTAGATGATATAATTCTATACATAGAATCTCCATCAGAAGAGTTTTAGAGCTATCAAATAAACACAGCAAAGCAGCAGAATACAGGATAAATGTACAAAAATTAAGTTTTGCTATATGCCAATAGTAAAACCAACAAAAAAATGAATAAAAGTATTCCATTGAAAATAACCTAAAACAAAACAAAAACATGGAAATAAACCTAGCTGAGAAATTGAAAGACTTCTAAAATAAAACTATAGAACACTGAAGAAAGAATTTGAAGAAGACTATAGAAGATGGAAAGGCATCTATTGTTCTTCAATAAGCAGATTTAATATTGATAAAATGACTATATAACCAAAAGAAATCTATAGTTTCAATCAGTCCCAATCAAAATATTAATGACTTTCTTCACAGAGCTAAAAATTATTCCCAAAATTCATATGGAAGAATAAAAGATCCAGAGTAGCCAAAAGAATACTGAGCAAGAAGAACAAGGCTGAGGCATCACAATTCCCATGCTCAAATCATGCTGCAGAACTCTTCCATCAATAAGAGAATGGTGTTTTTTATAAAAACCAAAATGAAAATCAAAGGAATAGAACTCATGGAGATAAACCCACATAGATATAGTCATCTAATACTTGACAAAATCAGTAAAAACACACATTGGAGAAAAAAATGGATGTTATGGTTTGGATGTGATGTGTCTTCCAAAAGCTCATGTGTGAGGCAGTGCAAGAAGAGAAACAATTGGATTGTAGAGCCTTAATGCAATCATTGCATTTTTCCCCTTATGGGGATTAACTGTGTGGTTAACTGAAGGCTGGTAGGGTATGGCTTGAGGGGGTGTGTTCCTGAAAGCATGGCCTTGGAGTATATATTGTGTAGATGGAGAGTGGAGTCTGTCTCTTCTTCCTGATCACCATGTAGGCTGCTTCCTTTTGCCAAACTCTTCCACCATGATGCTCAGCAACATGTCCAGCCCCATTGAATGGATCTTGCTGTCTATAAATAGAGACCTTTGAAACTGTGAGTCCCTGAATAAACCCTTTCTCCTCTATAATTGTGCTGGTTGGATTTTTTTAGTCACAGCAGTGAAAAGGCTGACTAAATGGACTTTTTAACAAATGGCTCTGGGAAAACAGGATATCCATATGTAGAAGAATCAAAGGAGCTCCCTCTGTCTCACCTGCATAAACTTCAACTAAAATGGATCAGAGACCTACTAATTTGAAAAGAATCTTTACAATTGCTAGAAGAAAACATAGGGCCAACTCTCCAATACACAGGAACAAACAGTGTCTACCTTAACAAAACTCTCAAAGATCAAGAAATAAAGCCAAGAATCAATTGACGAAGCTTCAAATTTGAAAACTTCAAAGAGCAAAGGAAACAAGACGATGATAAACAAGATGATGAAAGAGAACCTAAAAAATGGGAGGAAACTTCTGCCAATTATTCTTCTGATAGAGAATTCATGTCCAGAATATGTAAACATCAAAATAACCCAAATAACCCAGTCAATGGGTAAGTGAGCTAAATAGACATTTTTTACAAGATGACATGAAAATGGCCAACAAATATATGAAAAAACTGTCCAACATTCTTAACAATAAAGGAAAGTAAATAAAAACTACACTGAGGTTTCATCTCACCCCAGTTAGAATGACAAGATTCAAGATGAATAACAATCAGTGCCTTGTATTAGGTTATTGTGAATGGAAGAGTTTTCCTGATTTTTTTTCTCAGCAAATTTATTATTGGAATATTGAAAAGACACAGATTTTTTAAAATATTTATTATTTTTAGTTGTAGTCGACATAATACCTTTATTTTATTTGTTTATTTATATTTGGTGCTAAGGATTGAACCCAGGGCCTCACAAATGCTAGGCAAGCGCTCTACCACTGAGACACAACCCTAGCCCAAAAAGTTGTTGATTTTTGAATGCTGTTTTTGTTTCCTACTTTCCTAATTTTCTATATCAGTATTGGAATTCTTCTGGTGGAGAAGTTTGAGTATACTACATACAGGATCCTTTCTTCAGAAAACAGATAATTTGGCCTCTTTTCATATTTGTATCTCTTTATTTTCTTCTTTTGTCTGATTGCTCTGACTTTAGTTTCAAAAACTATATTGACTAGGAGCAGTGAGAGTGAACATCTTTTTCTTGTTCCTGATTTCAGAGAAAATATTTTTAGTTTTTTAGTTTTTCTTCATTCAATAAGAAGTTGGCTTTGCATTTGTTATATATAGCCTTTATAATGTTGAGGTAAGTTCTTTCTATCCCTAATTTATTCAATAGTTTTAACATGAATGGGTGCAAAAATTTATCAAAAAAGACGTTGGAAAAAAAGAGTCTTTTTTAAAAATGGTGCTTGGAAAACTGAATATTTGTATGTAGAAGAATGAAACCAGTTCCCTCTCTCTCTCATCCTGCATAAAGGATAACTAAAATGAATGAAACACCTATTAATTAGACCAGAAAATTTGTGATTTACAGAAGAAAATGGGCTCACTAATCCAACATATTGGCACAGGAACCTTATCAAGACCTCTAAGGCTTAAGAAATAAAACTAAGAATCAACAAGTGGGATGGTATCAAATGAAAATATTTCTGCACAGCAAAGGAAACAGGAGAATGAATAGAGCACCTATAAAACGGAAGAAAAATATTTGACAGCTATTCTTTTGACAAAGGATTAAAAAAACAGAATATACAAAGATTTCAAAACGTTAACACCTAAAAAGCAATTAATCTAATTAATAAATTGGCAATAAAGCTAAACAGGTATTTCTCAAAAGAAGTATAAAATGACCAAGAAATATATGAAAAGCTGCTTAACATCTATACCAATCAAGGGAATGCAGATCAAAACTACATTTTTATGTCATCTGGCCCCTATTAGAATGGAAATCATCAAAAATATACATAATAATAAATGCTGGTGTGGATGTGGGGAAAAGTACTCATTCATTTTTGGTGATACTACAACCACTTTGGAAAACAGTATAAAGAGTTCTCACAAGATTAGGACTGAAACAACTTCATGACTTTCTCACCCCTTGGTTTTATCCAAAGAACTAAAATAASCATACTGAAGTGATATTGGCATATCAGTGTTGATGGAAGCACAATTTACAATAGCTACATTATGGAAACAGCCTGGGTGCCTGTCTGCTGATGAATGGATATAGAGAATGTGGTGAATATGCACAATAGAATTCTACTCAGCCATAAAGAGGAATTAAATTATGGCATTTACATGTAAATGGCTGGAATTGGAGAACATCATACTAAGGGAAATATACCAAACTCAGAAAGTCAAAAATTGAATTTCCTCTCTTATATGCAGAAGTTGGAGCAAAATAAGGCATAAAGGGAAAAAAGGGAGTGGAATTCTGGAATGAAAATGAATAATGAAAGAAAAAGAGATATCAGTGGAATAGAGTAACGGGGTTGATGTGAAGGGAGAAAGGATGAGAAAAAGGAGGAACTGTGGAATGAAATCAATCAAATTATGTTATACATAAATATACCATGGTGATATATATATATATATATATATATATATATACATATATGTCACTGACTTATTAATAAGCTATAAATTAACAGAAAGGAAATAAGTAGAGGAAGGGGAGCAGAAGAAGGGGCATTAAAATGGAGAAAACTTTATCTGTGTATATATAAATAGTTCAAAATGAACACTACTATTATGCAGAAGTTAATGAACTGATAAAAATGTAAAATTAAATAATAAATGTTAGTGAGGATGTGTGGATAAGGAAACACTCATACATTCTTGGTGGARAGGGCAAATTAGTATAACTTCTTTGAAAAGCTGTATGAAGATTCCTTAAAAGAGTAGGAATGCAGCTACCATATGACCCTGCTATTCCATTTGTTGCTATGCATCAAAAGAGCTGAAATAAGCATAAAACAGTGATGCCGGTATATCAGTGCTTATAATATCTTAGTTTATAGTGACCAGGTTATGGAACCAGCCTATGTGTCTCTCTATAAATGAATGGATTAAAAACTATACATATATGTACACACACACACACACACACACACACACACAATACCCAAACACATATATAGAGATCTATTCTGTCATAAAGATAAAATTAAATTATATCATTTGCTGGTAAATTATGGAATGGAGAAAATCATGCTAAGTGAAATAAGACTCATTATGATAAATGTTAAAACTTTTCTCTCATATGCAGAAGCTACATAGAAGTAAGGAATAAAAAGAGAGATATTATGAAAATAGAAGCAATAACAGTGGATTAGAAGGGGGTTGAAGGGAGGCATGAGGAGGAGAAATGGGGGTACTCTGAAATGAAATTCTCCATATCTTTCTCTCCGTGTGCTTGAATATAACATAAAGAATTCTACTTTTTTGTATGAATGTAATGTTGTCACTACAGAAACAATAAATACATAGAAGGCAGACCTGTTGATTAATAGAAGGTAAATCAGGGGAAGGAGGAGGGAAAGGAGAAGCACTAGATATTCAAATGGAGCAAATTATGCTATTTGTACTTATGAATATTTCAAAATTAATGGCACTATTATGAATAATTATAATGCACTAATAAAAAGATGAAAATGGTCTCCAAATTACTTTTCAAAGGCTTAAAGACCACCATGCTTGTTGTTCAAACAGAGGTCTTGGTTTGCTGTGTGAAAATCGGAACAAAGCCACAAAATCTCTGCAGCTCATACAGACATGTCTCCATCCCATGGGCAGTGTGTGCAGACAAAGGACATGATATGTATCTCCTTTCAGAAGAAATAAAACAGATTCAATAATCAGAAAAAGGGAAGAGATGACATCATCTTGGTTTACAAGGTTACTTAGATAGGAAAACTGGTCATTGATATGCCCAAATTTATTTTTATCATGATAATAATGCAAGACCATTGGAGAGATAGCTATCCACTTACCTGTCTGAGAACCCCTGGCACCACCTTCATCTTCTGTGAAAAAGTTCTTATCTTTCATTCCAAAGGAAGAAGGAACTTCAGGAACAGGTACCTCTTCAACTTCATCACAACCACTGCTTGTGGCAACTGCATGCTGTCCTTGAGGTTCTGAAAACAGGGAAGAAGGAGGAAGAGCAAGATATTTGTTAGTCTAGGTGATGTCTTCAGTCTCTTCTAATGCAGAGATTCTAATAGCTGAGAAATATAGGTACCATATTTCAAGGCTGTCCCAAAGGCATACATTTGATCTCCATATTCTTAGATCATGTAAATCATCGAAATATTTCAATGTATAAAGTTCAATAATATTTTACTAAAAAGCTATGCCAAAAAAATTCAATAAAAAATATGCTATAAGTTTGAGGCACTTGTTTCAGGCATATGGTGGAGGGTTGAAAAAAATATGTATATATCAATGACTGAGAGTGATTTCATCAAGATTAAGGAGAACCCAGGCTGTTCATATGGCCTCTGAGGCAATGGAGACACAGTGCTTTCCAGGAAAGAAGACTGGCTCTCTCTCTCCTCCACAGATAGGCTATTCTACCAATTTGAATCACAGGAGGCATGGTTTTCAACCTCCTCTAGTGCTCTGCTGAGATTCGTCTTAACAGAGCACTCCTGGACATGCCTCATCCTTGGAACTCTCCACTTTTACCACTGAGGAAGGTGCAGGATGCTCTCCTTTCTTATGTTCTTTGTAGAGAAGCTCTCCCAGTGATTGATAAGTACAGGCACCAGAAACTCCTTGTGTTCTAGGAATTATGAATGTCTTTTTTTTTTGTCTTAGTATTCACATAAACCACAGAATAGTTTATATATCCTTGTATTTCAGGTCAAATCCATATGTTCTCTTTCACCTTGGAATTTGTGAGATGATAAGGTTCAAATGTTCTTTTTCAATTTATGGCCTTGGATTTTATAATATGTTTGAGGTATGTCTGTGACCATAGGGAAGTATCTACGGAAACCAACAGATTAGAATCTCATCTTTCCCTTTCTGAGATGACAGATTTGGGTGGAGAGAAAAGGTAGTTGTGAACCTGAAGGAAGAGACCCTTCCCATCTTAATCACAGAAAATTCTTTTCAGATGATAACCTCCTCCTCACCCCCACCATCCAAGGAAAGACTTGTCTTTACTACCTGGGACAGATTCAGGGTCTCCATTCTCCTCATTGTCCCCTATATAATAGGGTAGCTTAGTTGCTGAGCCATCGTCAAACATGGTTCCTAGTAGGGAGAAAACATCAGAGACAAACACAGGAGGAGGTCAATGTCATGGTTCAGAAGAAATTTTGAAGCTTCATACTTGTAGAGAGAGGCCTTAGAACTCCTGCCTTAGAAGGAAGCTGATAATTTTCTTAGTGGTCAAGGAATATTCCTAAAAGATCTTGTTCTAAATGCTTGGTCCTCAGGTTGGAGGTATTGGAAAATGTAGAACCTTTAAGGTGTGAGAACTAGTGGGAGGAATTAAGTTGTTGAGTGCATGCTCTTGAAAGGATTATAGGATGCCAATCTCTTCCTCTCTCTCTTAATTTTCTGGTCATCGTGAGATGAAAATCTTTGCTCCACCACATACTCCCAGCATGATATGGTGCCTTGCACAGGCCTAAAGCAACCAAGCCATATTATCATGGAGTAAAACATCTGAAAGTTGGAAGCAAAATAAAACTTTCTTCTTTATAATTTGATTGTCTCAGGCAATTTATTTCAGTAATAGAGAGCTACCAAATTTGCCGTATGAATGTTGTGTTAGTCATGTGGACTTTGCTTACTGATAATTCCCACACTGATGGTGAACTCGTGCAAATAAAGGAGGCTATGGACACACCTTGGATGTTCAGCAGGCTCTCCTTCTCTGGGTTTATTGGGTAATCGATCTCCTGGTACAGGACCTCATCAACAGTGTCTTCGAAAGTGGATAAGGCTATGGAAAGCAGATTGAGTTCAGACATTAGTCTTGGAAATGTTTCCCCTAGACAAAATCTTCTCCAATGCACACTCTTGGAGACACTCTTCTAGGCTTCCAGGGTCCTTTTCTTTAGCCTTGTGATCTACTGGAATAGAACTAGATTACCATGCCACTCCTGGATCTTATAATCAGTTCCCACTAGCACTGTACACATGGGAAGCCATCATATTTGAGGGCTCCACATTTTAACCCAGAATGAATTCATGTCTTTTAAGTCTCCACGTCCATGGTAGATAAGGCAGTTGTTCATATAATTGGAAGAAGACTAAAATGCATAGTTTAAAAAAAACACAGTTGGTCCAATATTATCCCTGCATACTTTCATGTTACAGCATTCCCTAGCCCCACCTTGGCGCTGTGCTCTCCTTCTGAGCAGCTTAGTTCCCAGGATGATGAGAACCAAAAATAGAAGGGCTCCCAGGATCATGCAGAGGATCCCAGGTAAGGAGAAGATGCCAGGGACAGGAGCTGAGGCTGAACTGGTGCCTGAAGTAGAAAAAGAGCCATGAGTCTTTAGAGAGGACCTTAAGCTCAGGAGAACCCAATTATCCTGGTCATCACTTGAGTCCTCAGGACCATGAAGTCCCTAGCTCAGTCATCATAGATCTGCCTGAATCCCAGGATTACCACCCTAGATCCTGCTCTGGGATGTGTCAAATATCTTCTGAGTCTGATTTTAAGAGATTTCTATAAAGTAAATGTGGATATGGCTTTGGAGCTCTCTGACTGCTACAACTTAACACAAATAATAGCTTCTTCTAACACCTGATCATCAGGCCTACTGTAATATGACCAGAGTTGTGTATACGGAAAATCTTAATTTTCAGTGCACAGAACACTGAAAATCTGCCTATCTCCTACATTACCTGGGTCACAGCAAAAGAACCACTTACTTCTCCAGGTGGGGCGAGTTGTTGTTCTTTCACCTGGGGAGAAGAGAAAGAAAATGGAATTATTGTACTGTGTGGGTCTGGGAATGTTGCTCAATCCCAACCACCACCACTGACATGGTTGTCTCTAAGATGCCAGGAGATTGGGTACAGCCTTCCAGAGCCAGGGCTCAGGGCAGCAGGGCAGCCTGGGAAGCCCTTTGGATGCAAACACACTCCTTCAACCCTAGGCCCCTCACCTGGTCCTGCCACTCACCTGAGCACCTCACACCAGCGTCCTCCTCATGCTTGCAGTCACTCTGTCCCCAGGGTGCTGCAGCACAGACCCACAGGGAGGGCTCCCTGCCCCTGCACTGCACCTCATCCAGCCAGATGCTTCCATTTCCAGGGCCAAATGCAGCCTTCTCTGGGGCATCCAGGGCAGAGCCACAGCCCAGCTGCTGACACACCACCTCAGCCTCTGCCAGGCTCCAGGAGTCATCGCACACAGTGCCCCAGGCGCCTTCATGTCAAACCTCCACTCGCCCTGAGCACTCACTGTCTCCTCCCCTGAGTCGGAGCTTCTCTTTGTCTGAAAAGGCAGCAGCACCTCCGTTTATTGCCCTGGCAATAGGAAAGGAGCCCCTGGAAGCCATGGGGAAGGTGGGAGGGGATGAGGTACCTGTGCAAGGCGCAGTGGCTGGACAGCTCTTGGGTCTGTTTCCTGCAGGAGCAGACAGTGGGGAAGCACAGGTTCAGGGGCAACTGAGGTGATCCTGCCCCAAGACAAGGCTCTCTAAGGTCCTGGGCTCAGTTTGGGTGACAGGTGGAGATAAGGTGCTTCAGAAGTAGTCTAACAGGATGGGTTACTGAGACATCCCCTAGAGCATATCCCTATCAGCAGCTGAAATTATTTTTCAGTTTACTTGTTCTTACTGTGCCCAGTACATGAAAAAATACTAACAGGATCATGAACGTGTTCATGTGTGTACATTAAAATACACATAGACATGCATAACCCAGAAAAAACTCCACTAGAAAGGTGACCTTGCTTCATTCCCTCTGTTCCTACAAACAGGATGGCACCTGGCATGTTGAATGCATTCATTAGAAGTATGTACAGGTGACTTTCCATGAATGTTATGAAAGTGGCTTGATAAATATTTACTGATTGAATAAATAGATGAGTAAAATCTGCTGGAAAATATTTTTTTTAATTTTTGCTAATCAAAAAGGTAATAAATTAAATGTAAGTTAATATTGATATTTTGTGGTAATAAATAATAGACATTTAAAACATAAATACTACATAATCCAAAAAGTGATTTGTACTCAATATCCCTCATATTGTTAATGAAAATTTATAAACATATTGAAAGTATTCATTCAACTTAATTGAAAGTATTCTTTTAAATAAATTAAATGTATTTTACATAAATAAAACAAGTAGAATTTAGAATAAAATTAATAAGTACACAAGAGTTAGCTGGTAAGATAGAAACATTTGCATAAAAATATAATACACTAAAGATAATTAATACAATTAAAGGACATAGATGTGTCATAGAGCCAAGTAAAGCAAAACAAATARTACATGAAGATGAAAAAAACAATACAGAGAAAACATACATGGCACTTGTCCTAACACCTTCATGGGTATGCATTATCCCCATTATTCTGTCAATCTCCTACCCTATGCAGAGAACATCTCTAGAAACGATTACAGGACCTCTCTTTGGTGAATGCTCGATTTCAGGATTGGATGTCTCACTATTTCAATATACAGAGTCTATTGTAGGGAAAAACATTATAAATACATATTCTTATAATTTATTATCCCTCAGCCTCTACAAGGAAAAGAAAAAATAAGGTGTGGAAAAGTAGGAAAGGGAAAAGAGTAAGCAATTGCTTTTGAAACATTTACCATTATTTATCATTGCATTCTCCCTGGATTTCAGGCAGTTCCTAGCAGAGGTTTGTGGGCTTTGTTCCTTTTTTGATTTTTGAAGTTCTGTATGTTTTTTTTAATTTAGTTGAACGGTCAAGTTATAAAAAAAATGCTGGTGTTTTCTATCAAGATATGAAATGCCAATTAAAAACAATTGCTCCTACAAAGTATGAAAATATTTTTTAAATAGATGTCATGTGATCTTACTACCATTGGCAGTCACCTTATAGTAACAAACCTACTAATATGCAGTGTTACATGTGTAAGGATATATATTACAATATTGTTTGTAGAAGGGAAAAATATAAAAGAATTATAAATTAATAGCAAAATTTTATGCATACTGGAATACTAGTCACTTAAGAATGAAACATTATGGAGTTATTTAACAAAAGTGTGAGTTCTACTGGAGGAATATGCATAATAATTCTTAAGGAAAGCTGATGTAACAATAGTAAGTATGATATAATCCCAATATTGTAAAACCAAATAAAAAGATATCATAAGATAAATGCTTTTATCACTATATAAGTTTGGATAAGATTCCATGAAAATGGAGGATTTAGAAAAATAGTAATTACAAGTCCATTAATCCTATTCACATCAGGGGATTATGAATAGACAAGGGTTATGCAATGTCACTAATGTACCTTTTATCTTTTTATATGTCTTTGTTGATTTAAATGAGTAATTAAGGTTTCAGTAATTCAGTATAATAAAAAAGATATTGTTTAACTCTATAGCAAAAACAAACTAGAGAGAAGAACATAAATCTCCTAGTGTTAAGCATGTGGCTGATTCTGTGGAAAAAGAAAAAAAAAGATGGGACAGCTTAAGAGGAGGTGAGATGGCCATGTCTTCATACCTCCAGTGCTCTTTGCCCAGACAGACAGCATTACTCATTCCCTGGGGGTCCTCAAATATAGAGGTTCATTAGTGTTACTTAAACTTAGAGTGAACCCAAACCCAACAAGTAGAAATCTGTACCTGAGAGTCACAGCCCTGACCTCTGGAGTGGCTCACACTCTCCTCCCTCTTCCATGGAAAGTCCTTCAAAGTCCAAGAACAATAAGCTGACTACATCTTCCTTGGCATTTCTGATAATTAGACTAATTACAGACTCCTGAGACATGGTTCCCAGTTGTTTCTGCATTTGGGAGCCACAAAGAAATGTGCCAGTGTCACTTCTAAAGGCAGCTCACCTGTGACACAGCACACATTAATCAAGTTGGTAATCAAATGAGTATATTCCTGGCATTAAATAGACAATATGTTATACAAGTCAAAGACCACTGAAGACTGTTGGAAGAGTCCAAGCTGCAAATGATCTTTCCTGAACTAAGAAGAGAGTGGGAAAGTTGGAGAAGAAAGATTTAAGACGTATTTGCTGGTAGAGGCATAGAACTTGCTATTACATTGGAATTGGAGAGAGAGTAAAATAAAGACATTAAGACATGAATGTAGACTGAGAATAAGTAACTGGGTAATAACATTGGCATTAACTGGGAAGGGAATAAAACGGAGAAAAAGTTAGAGGCAGGGCTTAAAGGGGTGGAATAAAACACTCTATTTTGAAAACTAAATTTGAGCTGCCCATTATATTTGCAAGCGAGAGTATCCATTAGCAATGAAATGAATTTAAGGGCAGAGATCAGGAATGGAGGTTCATATTGGGAGCTGTGGGTGGAATAATATCATCTAGGGCCATGGACCCCAATGAGAAAAGGGATGGGAAAGAGCTAAGGAAGAATACAGAGTCTAAAATTTAGATATTGAAGAAAAAAGTTGCAAGACTCTAAAGCAGAATAATAATCAATAAATTAGAAAATAAAAAAAATAAGATAGACAGCTGAGAGTTCCAATTTCCAGTGAAGTTTGAGGGAAGATCATCATTTATGTGTATGATGCAGTTTAAATAGAAATGAGGGAGAGATCAGGAAATTTGTAAAATGTCATGTTAGAGAGTGGGCAAGAGCACATGAGAGAGAAGCACAGTACAATATGGGGCCAGTGTGGATGATCCATCAGAGATTGGGTCACAAATTCAAAGAGACTAGCAGGGTAATTTCACATTTTAACAAGATACAGTACTTGTCCATGATTCAGCAGTCCTTGCCTAGTCCAGTGCAGGCAGTGGACAGTTAGGTAGTTGTCTCAACCATTCTTCTCATTGACAGATAAAGAAGAGAGCAGGGAATTGAGTGTACTTGAAGGGGGAGCATTATATTGCAGCATCATGTTGTCTAATCAGGGTAAGAAGAACATCTGCAATCATGAGGAGAGTGGAAAAATGAAAACCTGATAAGGGAAAACACTTGGAATCTGCATGAGGATGAAATATCTGGAAAAGGAGCATCATGATAGTCCCATAAGCAGAAGAAGCAACAGTCAGAGAAGGAACAATACAAAAAAGATCTCAAGCTGGACAGTTAGTGATGGACAATAGTGTGGCCATACAGGGAGATGGGATGTAAGTGGAGCTTTTAAGGGAGAACGTCAGAAATAAAGAGGCCAGGGTGTTATCTCAGTTGTATTCAAGGATTCTGGCAGCACCAGGAACAGAAGACAGAGGAGCCTGGTGAGCCTGGTACTGCAGCTTTCCTGGATGAGAGGGTGTGACCAGGTTGGAGAGTGACACCAATTGAAGTGGTAGCTGGTGCCATCTGATGGGCAAATTTCAAGTAGATGGACATGGAGAGAAAAGAAAAGAAATTGTGGAAAATGACAAAGGAAAACAGGAATATTTTTATTCTAAGATTTGGCCCAGAAATACCCTTTTGAAAGAGAAGAGCAGACCCTCAAATGATATCATTATTTTCAGAGGACAGCCAGGTTTTTATAAAAATATAAAACTGAAGCACAAATTATAGGTCTTATGAAATTGGAAGACAATAGCCTCCAATTTCCAACAAACCCCATAGAATGTTTTTTGGGAGGCAGACGAAGTGGTTCATTTGCAATAGCATATGGATAAAGACTCAGAGGAGGTAATATCAAACAAGACCACAAGACTGTGAGGAGATGAATTCAAGAAGAAAATAAGGGGCGACTAGGACCCTCATCTCACAGTAATTCCCCATAATGTGGCAGAGGAAAAGATTAACAAATAGCTTTTCAGCAAAATTGGTATGAGGACCATGCCTTGGAAAGGATCTGAACTCTTCTTATCCATCCAGTTAATCAGGCATCACTCTCCCCAGCTTCTTCCTACTCTGCTCATGATGGGATTTTATCAGTCCCTCAAGGTCACCAGACTTTTCATACTTCAGCATTTACACTGAACAAAAGCTCTTACTTTCTTCATTTGACATCTACTTCCTTCATTGGTCTCAACCTAAATATGATTTCTCTTTTCCTCAAATTACGCAWTTCCATAGCACCTTCCACTTCTTCATGACACACATTTATGGCTGGTGTGTATCGTCATGCTAGAGGGTAAACTTCATGAGGACACAGAGAGTATSTTATTCTTGTCTTTCCTCCTCATGCCTCATATTAAGTTTCTGGAGGTAATTCAACAATCTGAGCTTATTGTTTGTCTGACTGATGTTGATAGATTTCAGAGTAAAAGACCATGATCTCAAAGATAACCCACTAGTACTGATTACCCCCAAGTTGTCCCTCACTCTCTTGAGTGTATGGGGTGAATGAAGTGCTTACTCCTAATGTTAATTTCCACATCTGGATTAAATGATCACCATAATACCTATGAACAGATTGCTGAGTGGTTTAACTTGCATTACATGTGAAAAAAAAAAAAAACAAAAACCTAAAACTATGACAGGACATAGCAAGTGATTTATATAAGTGAGGTCAAATTTCTCACTCTATTATGGAAATGCAGAGTAATTATCATAGCCTAAGACTGCACTAGCCATCTACTTAGACATTTTTTAGAGGGTAAGTTCATGCTTCTACATGCTCAATTTAATATCCATGGCATTTTTCACATAAATGTAATAACAGGTTTACTTAATTCTGTCATCGAAACAAGATTGTAAATTGAGGCTAAAATTCTCTATTCAAATTTGTGCCTCATAGACTTATTTGAACTCATTCTTCTGGTTTGAAAGTATGAAATTTCTCTAGCAACTTACAGAGTGAGGACACAGGAATAGGGAATAAATCACCTGAACATGTGATATACGCTTCCTCCTTTGCAGAGCAAGATCTCTGTTTCCAGGGGTCAGAAGGACACTGCCAGAGAGAGGTGTCCATTTTCCTACACTGGATTCCATCCACCCAAYGAGGTCTRGAACCTTCTCTGAGAGSAASAGAAGWGTTGAGASTCCCAGTGTCCCCACAGCCAAGCTGTCTGCAGATCACAGACAAGGTCACAGCTTCCATGGGGCTGTGGCAGACACTGCCCCAGGTGTTGTTGTAGAAAACCTCCAGCCACCCAGCACACTCCTGGTCCTCGCTCACCAACCTGAGGGCCAGGAACTCTGAAACCAAGAGGAGGAAAATAGGACACAGTGAGTATTTAACACTTAGTGCTACCCCTAGTTAGTGAGTGTTCATTGCTAACTTTTCTGATGAAATGCCCACCACGTGGAAAGATGAAACTTTTATCCTTTTACCTGTTTTGATAACTTGTATGTCTCTTTYTATTTCTATGACAGTGGTGTAGTGGAAAATGGTCAGGAAAACTGAAGTGGGGCTCTTGAAGGGAGGGAGGAAAAGCTACTTGACTAAATATGACAGACCTTRGGAAAGGGGGTATGGACAGTGAGGTGGCAGAATAGTGAAGTCCCAGATATGTCAGTTCCTGATCCTGGAGCTTGTGAATAGATTATCTTGTGAGGTAAAGAGTGCCTGCAAACAAGATCAATATGAGGATTTTTTAATGATGAAATTATTTTATATTATCCTGGATTAACCATATGAGCTCAATCTAACCACATACTTAKATCTGTATTCTTACAAGCAGATAATGGTTTCTGACCCTGGTCAAAAAGAGATGTAAAGATGAAAAATAGTCAGAAGTATAAAAGGTGGTTGACTTGAATAAGRARGGGAAATACAGGTAACTTTTAGRTGCTGGAAAAGGTAAGGAAATGAGTCTTCCCAGAGCCTCAGCTGAATGTAGCTCACTGACACCTTGTTTATATCTCAGGTGAACTGGGGTCAGACTTAAACTCATGTTGTCTTAAGCCATTAACTCTGGCAATTTATTATAACRGCAATAGGAAACTAATACAGTGGGTCTCAGGATGTTGCACACACAGTAACTGAAGCATGAGGTCTACAGTCAAATGGACACTGAAGAGAATGAATGTCAGGAGGCATGGATGAGAATGAAGGAGCAGAAGCTCAGCTGCTGCAGCAGAAAATGAAAGCACCTTATCTTTTCTGCTAGAGGGACAGGCACTGTGGGGTAAGCATCCTCCCCATCCACACTGAGACCAATTTCCCCTCCTCTGCCCTAAAGCTCAGATACCATCCTGCACAACCTCCTCACTTTCTCCCACCTATACCCAGTGTGMACCACAGACCTGAGCAGATGACCCCAGCGTCTTCCTTATGCCTGCAGTTGTGCTGCCCCCAGCCCTGGGAAGGGCACTGCCACACATGAGTCTCCTCTCCTGTACAATTCAGCTCATCCAGCCAGATGGGCCCTGGTCCCTCTCCAAAGTGAGCAGAGATGGTGGCCTCCAGGGCCACTCCACAGCCCAGCTGTCTGCACACCACATGGGCATCACTCAGGTCCCAGCTGTCATCACAGATGGAGCCCCAGGAGCCCTGCTGCAGGATCTCCACTCTCCCTGCACAGTGACTGCCCCCGTCCACCAGGCGGAGCTGCCTTCTTTCTGTGGAGAGACAGGATCATGTCAGTGGGCATTTACACAGGGAATGGAAAGGCTCAGGTGCTGACGGCATTGCTCACCTGAGCAGTTGAGAGTGTGCCCTTTTGTGTCTACAGAGCCTGCTGGGTCAGACCAGGAGTTATTGCACTGGGGCAGCAGCTGGATCTGGCTACCTACACCTGGGAGTAGAGAGGATGAAACTGAATTAAGGTACATAATAATCTAGTGATGGCATCTGACAGCTATAGGACAAAATCAGTAATTTCATCTTCAGAACTGTTCTCCTATGTTTTGAACAATCAATAAAAAAAATGGATGTAAAAAAAAAAGAACTGTTCTCCTAATGGAGATTTCTGTTTCTGACTATGACACTTTTGTGCTTTATGTCAAGCACTCAGAGTGACTTTAGAAAAGTGGAATATGTTAGTTCCTCTTGAGAGCAGTGCAGAGCTCCAGGGACAGCTAGCCTTTAGGAGTCCAGTAAAGAGAATAGTAAAAATTGGGATCATCTATTTTTTCCTGTGGGCATTTGCTCATTTAAAGTTAGAAGCTGAGACTGAAAATCTAAGCATGTTTGACAGACTGATTTGGTCATACACAAATATAATTTAGGTTGGACCAAAAAGGAGGAATCATGTTAAACAATCAGGAAACTTGTATCATATTTTGTCAACTGAAAGAATTTTTGTCACAGGGATGGTGCCGAGTTTCTTAAAACTTCAATTGTTTTTGTGTAACGTGATCTACCTTAAATAAAGTACCCAGAAGAGGCAAAATAAAATCCTCTCTGAAGGTTCTGTATAGTTTCTCAAAACAATGTTGATCCAAAATACCACAAGAAATAGAATTTAATAGAGAACAAAGAGGAAAAATAAGAAAAAAATGGGAAAGATTTTCATATATTAGTATTGGTGTTTCCTTATAGAAAATTTATATAATCATGATTAAATACTCTATTAAATGGCATGATGTGCATCTTGGCAGAGAAATGATCACAAAAATCTAATAAAAAATTGAGAGTTAAAAAGTAAAGAGCTAAAAATAAGAACCCAAAGATGAGTCAACAACATTAGATTATCACAGAATAGAAATTGCAAAGTTCAAAACCATAGAAAAAATATAGAATAAAGCAAAGAAAGATAAGGATAGAAACTATAAACAGGGATTTGAGAGACATGGTGAGAGAACCTAACATTCCTATGTAATCTATAAGTCTTAGGTAATTAAGGCCACTATGATAGTGTTAAAAATATAACTTAGAAAATACACAAAGTCAGATATTCAATACACATATAGCTTTAAAAAATATCCACAAAATCTGTGATGCTCTATTTATTGACTTGTGGAATCCATTCCTCCTTACCTTTAATCTGGCCTGACCATGGTGGGTTGTGGTGAATAGAATGTTGCAATAGAATGTGGTGAAGCCAACATAGCTTAACTTAGGAACCTAGCTTAGAAAGTCATGCCTCCTTTTCTTTAGGATTTTTGATTTATGGCATATCCACTGTATAGAGATTATCATGTGGGAGAGAACATTTGCAGGTGGTTCTGTCAACAGCCCCAATTGAACTTCAAGCTACCAGCCATGTGAATGAACTATCCTGGATTTCCAAATGGGTCAAGCATTCAAATGATCTCAGTTCCACATGGCATTCAAGTGTAACCTTATGACAGATCCCAAGAGGAAACTGCCAAGAGCCCTTCCCAAATTTATGAGTCAGGGAATGATGAGAAAAATGAAATGTATTTTTCATTTCTGTTTCTCATTATTTCTCTTTCTTGCTTGCTTTCATTCTTTCAAATGCCTAACATACAGAATAAGGATAGAATTTTTAAGGCTTCTAGAAATAAATGTCAGTTTACATTTACAGGAAAACCAATTTGAATCTCATCTAATTTCTCACTCCAGACACTCAAATCTCAGAGGTCTTGGAATAATATATATCAAACCTTCAAAGAAAATGGATGTCAGCCTAGAATACAATACTCAGCAAAACTAATCTTCATATTTGAAAATAAAATCAAAACATTCTATGATAAACAAAATATAAAATAATTTACAAGTAGAAAGCCTGCACTCAGAACACATTAAGCAAAATATTCCAGGAAGAAGAAATAAAAAATATAAGTGAAAACCAGCAAAGGGTGAAACCACACTAAAGGAATAGTCAGTCAAAGGATAAACTAAATTAAATTAAAAACCAGAAATAAAACAAAATGATTGGGAATACAAATCATATCTCAATAATATCTTTGAACATAAATAGCCAGAACTCATCAATCAAAAGACATAGACTGGCATGTCAGATTAAAATAACACAACCCAACAATATAACCTCTCCAAGAGGCTCACCTCATAGGCAAAGATATTTTCAGATTAAAAGAGAAAAGACAGGAAAAACTATATCACTCACATCGATCTTGTAAACTAGCAGGGATTTCTGTTCTCATATAAAATAAAGTGAACTTCAAGCAAAAGCTTGAAGACACAAAGAAGGACATTTCATACTGCTTAAGGGAATGATACATATGCAAGACATAGCAATTGTAAATATTTATGCCCCAAACAATGGAGCATCTATGTACATGAAACAAATTCTTCTCAATTTCAAGAAAGAAATTGATCACAATACAATAATACTAGGTGAGTATAACATATCTCTGTCAATACTGGATAAATCCTCCAAACAAAAAACTAAAGAAACTATAGAACTAAATATTACAATCAAAAATTTAGACTTTAAATACATATATAGAGTATTTCACACCTCAATGTTCAAAGACACTTTCTTCTCAGCAGCACATGAATCTTTCTCTAAAATAGACCATTTCTAATGCCACAAAAAAACTCTTAGAAAATACAAAAAAAATAGAGATAATGCCTTGCATTCTATTAAATCATAATAAAATAAAATTAGAAATCAATGATAAAATAAAAAATAGAAGCTACTCTAACACCAGGAGATTAAATAATACACTACTGAATGACCAATTGATAGCAGAAGAAATCAGGGATGAAACAAAAAAAATACATAGGGGAAATTAAAATAGTGTCACAACATATCAAAATCTCTGGGACACTATAAAGGCAGTGTTAAGAGGAAAGTTCATTGCATTGAGCTCATTCAATAAAAGAATACAAAGTCAACAAATAAATAATCTAACATTACATCTCAAAGCCCTAGCAAAAGAAGAGCAAATMAACACCAAATACAATAGAAGACAGGAAAAAATTAAAATTAGAGCTGAAATCAATAAAATGGAAACAAAATAAATAATTCAAAAAGTTGACAAAAAAATTTGGTTCTTTAAAAAAATCAATAAAATTGATAAATCCTTAGCCACTAAGGCAAAGAGAGAGAAAGCAGAAATTACTAAAAGTTTGTGATGTAAAATGAAATATCTCTGAAATACAGATGATAATCAGAAACTATTTGAAATTTTATACTTAATTTTTTTTAAATAGAGTCTTGAAGACATTGACAAATTTCTAGAGACATATGAACCTAACCAAACTGAATCAGGAGGACATGAACAGATCAATTTCAAGCACTGAAATAGAAGTCACCATGAAAAGCCTACCAACCAAGAAAAGCTCAGGATCAGATCGATTCTCAGCCAAATTCTACAAGACCTTGAAAGAAAATGTATATCAGTCAAGAATACAATCCATACCAATAGACCTCAAATTAT